GTTCACTGTAGGTGCCGTGCGCGGCAGATTCCGCCTAAGTCATTTAACGAGTGTGGTCATTCGACTAGTGCTAAGATAGTGTCGTGGTTCTGTTAGTTGTTATAATTCTTCTAGTGCAGGCAAGGAGAATTGGTGTTGCTGAGAGGCTGCCCAGTGTTACATTGAGATAAGTAGTGTTGCTGTTGGTTTACATATTTTGGTGTTATCATGTAATGTACCTCACGTTACACTGGTATGTTATTGTGGCGGAGACGTGTTACGGTGTGGTCGAACTGTAATTTCGCTATACCGAATGTATAGTGCGTTACGTTGTCTTACGAGTGATAATGATTAAACTGCGTAAGCAAGAGAGCAAGTTGAACATCCGCTCTCACACTTTTATTATTTTTAACAGTTAACGCTATCCTGATGTATTTCTAAGATCACAAGTGGAATACTCTGTTGTAATCACCGACACCAGAAGTGGGATCTCCTGTTGTCATTTCCGATATATATATATATATATATATATATATATATATATATATATATATATATATATATATATATATATATATATATATATATATATATATATATATATATATATATATATATATATATATATATATATATATGTATATTATAAGAAGTTTTTGACAAGAGATAGGTATTATACATATCAAAGTATAGTTTAAGACTATATATAGTTTAAGTAGCAAATACGCTATCTCATTACATATTTATTTCTTAATTCAGCCATATTTTTGGCTACCTTGACACCTGCTTCTTTTGAGCAGCAAAATGATTTTAAAGTTGATTTGGAATCGGTTCTAAGTAATTTAAATTAGATAATAAAAGAAAAAGACAAGAAAAATTCAGACTATTTACATATATGGAGTATTATTTACTAAGCAATGAATTTAATAAAACATTTACTTCAAAAACATTCTCCACAGTAACAGTCGCAAGGGCTTAAATGAGTGGGCGACAGCAGGAAATCATAAGAGCAGACGAAGCTTATATGAACGTTACCATGAAACATCATATAATCTTTCCGATACTTTTAAAGAATACTCGTATGTCAAAAATTATTCCAAAATGTTTAAAAGAGTCTGCTGCGCAGCCAATTTTTTAAATATTAGCAACAATATCAAGACTGCTAAAATAAAATTAAAATGACGTGGAGTATAATTAATAGCGAAACCGGTAAAGACAAACCTCGCAGCACAATCTATCAATTGAAAATTCGTAACGAATTGATTAGATCAAATCAAGAAGTCGCAGCGATGTTTGAGAAATATTTCACTGATATACCTATTTTGACAACAGTCATTGAATAATTCACCAACTGTCGCCGAGTCATTACTCAAACAGAATGTTTGTACTACCTGTTTAAAAGAATTTAGATTTGAAAAAGTATTACCACAAGATATTTAAAAATATTTCAAAACCCTTGATGTAAAGAAAACAGCAGATTTATGGGGGATTTCCGTGAAATGCCTGTAATACAGATGGTATGGATGGTATCATAAATTTTGTCATTTTATCATTTTGATGGTAAAATTTAGAGGCTGGAATTAGAACCAACAATTCGCATCTGAGCACGGTAAGTGTTCGGATGCGATAGAATATGCAAAGGAATGCAACATAGCTCCACTGCACCAGCAAGTTAAGCCAATCAGAAAGAACTCACAGTCGTTGATGATTTAGGCTGCTCTTCGCTAAAAGCGTTCAAGTGTAAGGAGCTGCCACTGGGGTGCCCCGGCTCATAGATAAGAACAGTATTCCATGTGAGGCCGAACTTGGGCCTTGTAGAATAGCCTTGTAAAATTTTTAAAGGCCAATTTGGCCTTCCCTTCCTTCCTTCCAGTGACCACGGAACTGAACGTTTTTAGATATGATGTCGACACCGAGGATCGATTGTGTTTAATAATAATTTTGCTGAGCTGTGTAATATTTAGTACATCATTAAACATAAGTAATTTCACATTTTGCCTTCTGTATAATTAATTATTCAGAAACAACGCCTTTACCTTTTTTAATACTGTATTTATTTACTGCCACATAAGTCACATTCTGGTTCTCATTACGTAATATTTGCTTATCTTAGAACAATTACGCACTATAGAGATATGTAAACACAACAATGTTATGCACATTGTTGTGTTTACATATCTCATTTAGTCGTTGATGGCATTCATATATTAGTCCCGAGTTTAACACGTTGCAACTCAGAGCTTGTAGTACCGCCATGCAGTCGGCCAGTACTCTAATGGAGGAAGTCTTTTACTTTCCTAGCATCTATTATTATGGCCGCTTGGATGATACCCATACCTTGTGCCTGAAAGACTTGTGTTGTGGATACCCAGCGGTGTACCAGGCCGACTGAAAAGTTCACGGCCTAGGGTACTTAACGATGAGTAATTAGCTTATTACTCATGTTACTAGTTGCACACTCAGTAGTAGTATAAAAGCAATCACTACTTAAGTTTGCACTCATAGTTAAATTATTTATTAAACAACAAACATTACAATGTCAGCCAAATCTAGAAATTCTCGGAAATTGAACACCGCGTCGTGATAAAATTCCTCGTAAAGACGGAAAATACACCGAAAAACATTTTTGACAAGATGTCATCGGTTCTTCGGATTCTGTACTTTTATATGCGATGGTGAAGAAACGGGCCCGCATATTTCAACAAGGACGAGGGAGCTGTGAAGACGAACCTCGCCCAGGCCGCCCTGTCACGGTACTGACCGAAGAAAACGTCCGAAAAGTCGAAAAAATCGTTCTGGCCGACCGAAGAATTACATTGTGGCAGATTGCTGAAGAACTGCAGATTAGGAGAGAATGAGTTGGAGAAATTTTACATGAACATTTGAATATGAGAAAAATTAGCGCGCGCTGGGTACCGAAAAAGCTCACACCGCTCAACAAGCAACGTCGACTCGCAAGTCGCAAAGATTTTTTGGAGCTAGTCGGCGATAACAAGGAAGTCATTTAGCAACGGATAGTCACCGTAGATGAAACATGGATTCACTAACATGATCCGGAGTCCAAACAAGAGTCCATGCAATGGATAAAAAAAGGAGAAATGCCGTCGAAGAAATTCAAGCTCGAAAAGTCGGCGTACAAGCTAATGGCGAATGTTTTCTGGGATAGCGAGGGCAATTTAACTATCTATTACCTGCCCAGGGGAACTACGATGAATGGTCAATATTACGCCAATTTATTGACTCAGGTTCGCGAGGCTATTGTACAGAAACGACGTGGTAAACTGACGCGCGGAGTGCTCTTTCTGCAAGACAACGCCTGTTCACACTGCACATTTTACATTTTACAGGGTCTTCAGAGATTGACCACCGTCCGTATAGCCCAGATCTAGCACCGCGATGTTTTCCTGTTTTTCAAATTGAAAAAGTACTTACGGGGCCGAAGATTTGCAGATGATAACGAAATGAAAGCTGCAGTTGATAGTCTTTTTGAAGAGAAAGATACAGAATATTTTTTGGGCGGGTTAAAGGCATTGTATGCGAGATGTGAGAAATGTATTTCACTTGAGGGAGATTATATTGAATTAAGAAAATGTATATTTTCTTTCGTTAAGTACTACTTTTGTACCATAAAAGCAATAAGTAAAATACCTGCAGCACTTATTCTATTAATTATTGAGAATATTAGGTATATCTTTTATTCTGTACATAGGTAAGTTGTGCTTGCAAAGTCAAGCTCAGCGCCCCCTCGAACTAAGCATTCTAGGCTCCAGCCTGTTAGCCTGTCCAGTTAGCCTGTGGGTAAATCAGGCCCTGCGTACATGCGTAAAAACTGTAAAGAATAATACGAGTACGACTTAAATCGTACATCTACCAACACTGCGGAGCTCCTCGTGGAGTCGCGGTGTGGAAGTAGCCACACAGCGGCATCACAGAGGGGTGTGCAGCGTTTCTCTTCATCGTGGCGCGGTTTCCGAACCTTGACGAGGCTTTTCAGTACTTTTGCGTCTTTATTAGCTTTTTTGTCCTAAAAAACTGCTGCCATTTTCAGGTTTTTGCGATTGAAAATATTTTAAGGTTATCTTTTTACACGTCACTGCCGATCATCTTTATCAAATAAATATAATTACACGTTGTAAGCGAATTGTCTGTCTTTTTTCATTTGAGGTCGATAATACTCGTAGATGTATTTTCAGCAATATCTGATAATTTTAGCCGTTTCCTGGCTTGAGACATCGGGTCTCTGGTAGAGCAGTTGCAAGTAAGCTGGGTGTCCTTGCAAGTGTGCACTTCACGCCACTATAGACTATATTACATATGTATAGCGCAAGTCTGGTCGTGCCTAGAGTATTGCTGTTACATTTGGGATGTCCTAGGTGGGGCAGTGGATATTCATACACCGCCACTACACGGTGAATAAAAACTATAACTTCTTCGTTTTTAATGTCGGCTAAAACGGATGATTGTATCCAGATGTGGAACGTATGTATATTTTTTTATAAACTGAAGCGTGTAAGCAGTCTCGCAAAACAGACTGTGAAGTTCTGGCTAATAATATCAATAGATATAAATATATTAAAGTGTCTGTCTATAATACTAAAATAACAGGCTTCTATTAAAATCAGTGGTAATTATCATGCTATTAAAACATAAACAACCATTCTTGACCTGATAAAATAAAATATCTTTAATGATCTTAATTTTAAATAACGCCACATTAATAGATCATATCCAGATGATATCGGGGTGGGCCCCTAGTTATTAATATAAAAGTTTAGAGAGGAAAATAAAAAAGATATACTTTATAGATCACTATTATATTATAGAATATACTCATTGATAGAAAATAAAATAGAACCACAGATTTTTATTATTTCGTAAAATAGAACATTACAATCTGTCACTCAGATTATTTTAAATGTAAATATCTGTCACTTTTTGAACATGGTCTCACCTATTTGAAAAGAAATGTGGATTTAAAATTTACAGTATTATATTACGAAAAGTTAAAAAAAAATAAAAAAATGTTTGTTAATAAAATATTGAAAAAACAGAAATTTAAAAAGGATGCGTGCAAAGTGAATGAAATTGCAGAAATTAGAAATTATAAGTTATCTTGTCCACCGCGGCCATCAGGCACGTGCGGTTGCCAACCACAGATACCGAGCTACAAAAATATTATGCCACCTCCAGCTTCGTGTCGAAAGGTAGATATACCACCCAACCCATGTGTACCGCGATATCATCATGGCAAGGATACATGGAAGAAATATAAATATTTCGCCCTATTCGTCTGTTTTCCACTCATACTAATACAAACCCTACATGTTTTGGGACACAAATCACCACCCAAGGAAGCCTGTTTGGATTATGAATACATGCGCAGACGCACTAAAAGATTTCCATGGGGAGACGGAATCCAGTCTCTTTTACACAACGAGCGTGTGAATCACCTTCCTGGAGAATGCGAACCTCCTCCACTGGAATGCGATTAGGTCCGTTTTAGAAAATTTTCCTATACAACCATCTTAACAAATAATATTTTAATTTGCATAAAGGATTTACGTAAAGTCAAGTCAGTCTTATTTTTTTCTTCTTTTTCAAGCCTACGTCAGCCACCCAAACGTAGAATACCTACCTATATAAATAGCTTACATACATGCGCAGTGATAAAAGTTAAAAAGAACATGCGGCGGCTCGCTAGGGCGGGCTGGGGCTTCGATCAATAGCGGAGCTGACGTCAGTGAGGCGTCGCGCGCTATTGGCCTAGCCGGCATTATTAAGTAAACCTCCGGGCGGAGTGGCGCGCAAAGCGTCGCGTCGCGGGCACAGCACCGCAGCACGCGGCGGGCCCGCGCAGCGCTCGCGGCCGCCGCCGCACGCCATGGCCGACATGCCGGACCTGTCGCACCTTACGCCCGAGGAGCGCGCCATCATCGAGGGCGTCATGATGCGGCAGCGGCAAGAGGAACAACGCGAGCACGAGATTATGAGGTGCGCCCTACACCCGCCCCGCTTCCACCCTCCCGTGTCTTGTCCGCTGATGCTATGTATCTTATTATGTGACAGTGTCGTGATAATATTGTCGCCATATTAAAACCGAACTTGAATATCAGAAAACTGTAGGTGCGATCCTTCATATAGATTTAGATAGGGCGTTTAATCATATGATCAATTATCTATTGATACCTACGTATATATACAGAATACACAGCATGCGGGTATCGTGCTGACTACTGACATTGTTCTTTTTCGACCTCATAATAAAAGAACCACTTTAATATGTTTTTAACTTTGTTGAATAAATAAAACAATACAAAGCCATTCCACCGCATCGTAATGCAGTTCCTATCATGTAACTGGAACAGTGTTGCATCGCTGCAATAGTATCAAAGAATGCTATAATTTGATTACTTAGGTGACTTTTATGGTTTAATTTTTTAATAATTTACTCTTGACTTCACTATAGCATAGAAACTCATAAAATAAAGAATATTTTTAATATGCAAAATAATACTTTGCGTAACTTATAAGTTCGAGGAAAGGATCCTATCATGTGCATAATCATTACATAATACATGCGATAATACGTAAAATTGAAAATTATACCATCTGTAATTTGTAAAAAACCAAGCATAAATAAGATAATATGTATATGACGTAGGTATTATGCTTTGATAGGTAACTCGAATACTTGTACTGAGTTGAGAGGCCTTTGCTATTCTGCCTAACGATTTTAACTATTTCTTCTATTTATTTAATCAGGCTCTGTGATCCTCAAAGGTGACACCATACTCGTAGCCTTCTTTGTCTGAAATTAGTTTACCGTACGGTGTACCACTTTTATATTTTTGGGATATTCATTATTTGATAGTAGGGGAGGGGGGTTGCATAGGTGATTTTATGTACTTAATGTTTAACATTTTTATGAAAAAAAGTCAACACAAACATTTAACATTGTGTTATTTTTTCTATGACTCAAATATTTTCAAAATGATAACCAAATTTACGTATGTGAATATTTATTCGTTGTAAATAAGCTCTCAGTAAAATATTATATATCTTTTTCAAAAATCCCCCTGGGTTTCTTGCTGGCTCTTTCCAGGAAAGGGTTTTTTTTTTCGGAACCAGTGGTAAAAGTAAAAAATGACTTTCAATAAGAATTACATGTGTAAGTAATCCCTATTGAATAAAAATAATTCTATTCTATTCTATTCTTCATCAGCCTGTAAATGTCCACTGCTGAACCCGTTGCAGGGAAGATTTGCCTTAGTCGTCAGACTTGGCAGGCAGCTTGATTGCGCTACCCGACGTCTCGCACCCATAACAATGCTACCCGTCGCCAGTCTGGGTATGATACTCTTAACGTCTGGTGTAAATGAGATGGTTAAGTGGTTATCTTTCGGAAGCCATAAGATTGATCTGGTATTTCTCACGGTCGCAAGTACGACATCCACGAAATGGAGTGATGTATTATCCTACCAAACGGCAAAAATAAATATACTATTTATATTGATTTTTATATAATTATCGATGTTGTTTTTACTAGATTATAGGACTACTTTTCTGTCTAAAAGTCCATCTGGTTAGCAATCTCTAACATATTAGGTGCGCAACTACTAATCTCTGTTTCGGACATCATTTTTGTATCAATAATTACCTTATTCGGAGGCAAATGAAATAGGAAATGGGCCAGCAGCATCTTCATGATAACTACTCAAAATAATTAAAAACTGCAGTCGCAACCCGCCTTCCAAGCGTGCCAATCAGAGGCTAAGAGGCTTATCGACCCATCTTTCTTTTCAGTTCACATGATTGTCTGTTAAAATAAACTAGATTATATCAGTGGATCGTGCTCCACAGCTTGGTCATTCCCACTTCAATTTTTGAGGGCGGTGCATCTATTACATTCTTTTTTTTTTGTGAATTACGTGGTTTTTAATCTTTTAGTTTTATTCCTCGTTTGTCACCCATTAGTTTTTAAGGCTGTAGGTCTATTTTCAGTACTTGTATTTCAATAACTTTTTCCAGGTTATAGCAATTCTTCCATCGATTTTATCTTGGTTTCTTGACATTAAAGGATGTTTGTTTACCAAGGTATTGAAATCTACATATTCAAGAACTATTTTGTTAAGCGTCTTAAACTATTTGTTTAGCTTCCTCAGTTTTTTCGGTGTTTAGGTGTAGACTTATTTTTGTGCTAACATTGTATTTCTACTAGAAATATTTTATGTGATTCGGAGAAGATAATAATACAATCGGTGAAGCGTAGGTTGTTCAGATGTTTGCCATTAAGATTAAGTCATGTTTCGTTTCATGTTGAGTAGGTCTTTTAAAATATGTTGTACTACAAAAGAGCACACAGTCCATCTGATTGTGAGTTAAAATGCAGATGCGTTGTCAGCCGTGAAGACTATAGAATGCCTGTTTTCCAGTAAAATGGGTCTCCGGATCTCTACACTCACCATATGAAACACAGCAGTATTAAGTTGCTAAACAAGTAGACCCTTTATTACATAAACTTTTTAGACCAGTAGTACTACTGGTCTAAAAAGTTTATGTAATAAAGGGTCTACTTGTTTTACTCTTCTACGTATTTTGATCTCTGATCCTGTGCGATCAAGTTTTACTCGGCCTGTGCTTTATTCATAGATGTTTTGTTATGCTGTCTGATAGCCTTCAATATACTGTCATGTGATATATAAAATCATAATTCAAAGTTTCAGACGTGGTAGAGCCATACTGCAGCTATATTAATAGTATAGTTGTAGCACGAATGGGTCGGCTCGACCGGGGAAGGACCACGCTCTCACAGAATACCAGCGTAAAATAGTAACTTAATGCTGCTGTGTTTCATATGGTGAGTGTAGAGATCCGGAGACCCATTTTACTGGAAAACAGGCATTCTATAGTCTTCACGGCTGACAACGCTTTTGCATTTTAACTCGCAATCAGATGGACTGTGTGCTCTTTTGTCACCCTTATTCTATATATATACTCAACATATTTTTCAATTATCCGATCAAATGTATAGATATGATCTATGATGCAGTAAACCTCTAAGTATGTCGGCTTGTTCTGTATATTTGACCTCGTATCCGTTTTTTAGACATAATGCGAAAAGTTAATATATCGCACGTCGTGAGCCCTGCCAATTTTTGGAAACTATACTTTCTTTAATATTCTATTTAACAGTTCCATGAGAGGCGGATCTAAGAGAGGTTTGCCAGTGCCAAAGCTTCGTTTCGTCAGAACCGGGACTTTTATCATTTTTTCATCTTGTCTATATTTTTAATTATTTCTATTTTGTTAAAATTTTCAATATCATTATCAAGGTCGTAAAGGCTCATAATCGTCATCACCATCGAAACGGTTCTTATAAAACTCTGTCATGATATTGACGATTTTTTATTATCAAGGTGTTTTTCTACTAATTCTATCCTATGTTATTGGTTACCCTTACTTAAATTTTTGTTTGCAGTATGATATTTCCTTATGGGAAGATAATTTTGGGAGCTTTTATGTTGAAGATCTGCACGTCTTTTTAACAATGATTTATTTGCCACGGAGATAAAACTGTTCCTTTTTAATAGTTCTTGTGATTTCGTATAATTTAGGCAATATTTTATTAACATTTAGATTTTTTAATAAAGTTACTTGATATTGTCGTTTTTTCCAAAGCAAAATTCATTTGACTTTTGTTGAAGGATGTGATGGTATTTGTTTCGACCAACATAGTCTTATAAGTTTGAATTTGTTTTGCTGTAGCTTATTTTTGATTTTTTCTCTTTTGCGAAACTCTTAGTACCCCGTACCAGCCTGTGATCTATATATTATTATTTATTACTTCAAAGCTCGTCAATTGTTTTAAGTTGTTACTTATAATTAAGTCAATTAGTTTTTTTTATGGGATAGGGTTACAAACAAGCACACAGTTTACCTGATGGTAAGTGGTTACTGTGACCCACAGACATCTACATCTATCCTCAATAAAGACTCAAGATGCAGATGCGATGTCACCCGTGAGGACTATGATGGAATGCCTCTTTGCCAGTGAAAAGGGTCTCCGGTTCTCTACACTCACCATACAAAACACAGCAGTGTTAAGCTGCTATTTTACGCTGGTTTTCTGTGAGAGCGTGGTCCTTACCCGGTCGAGCCAACCCATTCGTGCTACAACTAACTACTAATATAGCTGCAGCATAGCTCTACCACGTAAAAAATTAGTTTACTGACCAATAAAAATAGGGGGGTAATTAATGCCACCAACAAGAAAGTACTTATTATTCGAAGTTTGTTTAATAGAGCGTATTGCAGAAATAGGTCAACCCTGTGGTCCCTTTTCCTATTACAGGAAGGCCCCATAACCTTAGTTTTTTTTTTATTTCTCGTTGCATAATCTTGGCGCTGAATACGCCCTTAAAATAAAGTTGCTTGCATCAATAGTTTGTGTTTTGCACACCGTGTCATAAATCTCATTCATTTCTTAGGGTTT